GCCTTTGCTCCCCTTGGGGTGTGGCGCCTATGGGGAGGCGCGCTATGAGGAGACCTAATGGGTGATGACATCATACCCAAACACCGTTTAATTTCCAAAACAGATTCATTGAATACAAAATGTATATATCTATCTTGGTTTCATAGATAATAGTTTTATCGTAGACAAGTTTTCTGTGCACCTAAAAAAACACGTACACACACGTGAAAATTCATTTATAAATTTGTTTACATATGAAATTGTCGTACTGGCCACTTTGACCTTGAATATCTCCTCTTTGGTAAGGACTTCCAAATTCAAATTTTACAGCTATTTACTCGTGCATTTGTTTTTCGAAAACAATGATTCATTTCATTTTCCCGCGTTAATTTATTTCTATGTGCCACTATGTATAGTTAAATGTAAAAGTACCCCTCACTAGGATTCCCTGTGTCATGGGCAGCTAGCCATTTGAATTATTAATAATTTTAGGTACATGACGGAATAAATTCTACATAACACTTACAATTGTATAATTAAACTGTTACAAAAGATTACTTTTTGAGCATAGGACAGGGTGAGAAGAGGTCGCTTAAGATTGTTCGTGAATTTATAGTTTCCAATCGATTGAAAATTTTATTTTTAAGAAAGTATAAATTCGCATTTCTGCATATCACCTAAACGTTGCCAGAATTTCTAACAGCGTATCATGTGTTCGTTCTACATATTTAATTTCCAGTTAAAGAGTAATCGTTTCGAATATTTCAAAACGAAATAAATTAGCTATAGCTCATCACTTATCGGCATAACATTTTGTGTCCGGTACATTCAATGCCGAAATTTATATTAATCATTGAGATACCATCTCTTTAAACACTAATCTTATCACTTTACACAAATTAAACTTAAAATATTATTAATACGCAAGAAACCCATCAAATTTATTTGTTTTCCTTTTTAGGGTTGCCTGGAAGAGATAGCTTGTTAGTGATAAGGCCGACCGTTCTTTAAATGTAACAAAGTGTAAATAAATAAAATTTCGTGCGTTGTTGCATTGCCTCTTGTTCAAGACTTGGCTTAATAAACATTATTCGGACTCTGCACCAGGAAAATGAACCGTTGAGAAGTGGTTTTCTAAGTTTATACAAGGCGAAATAAGCACCGAGGAGTGGATACCCAAAGAGGCTGTTACCGATAAAATCCCCAAAAACACACAAAATAATTTTGGATAACCGAAAAGTGGAGTTGATTAAAATAGCTGAGACTAAAGATATGAAAGGAACGTGTTGGAAATATCCTAGATAAATATATGGGAAAGATCACTTCAAAATGGGTGCCGCGCGAGCTCACAATCGACCATAAACAATGAGTTGATGATTCTGAGCAGTATTGCAGCAAGCTTCAATCGTAATAAATCCGAATTTTTTGGAAAGATTTGGCCCTAGCGACTTCTACTGTTTTCAGACTTCAACAGAATGCTCGCAGGACGAATTTTGCGCTAATGAAGAGGTTATCACCGAAACTGAAGCCGATTTTGAGGCTAAAGACAAATCGTATTATTAAAAATGATATAGACCGCTATAATCGTTGTATAGCTCGCGAAGGCAACTATATTGAAGAATAAAATCAAATTCTATCCATAGAAAAATTTTCTATTTTGAATTTTTCAGCCCACCTTATACTAATTAATACGTGTAAGATGACGGTGATATCGATATCGATAAACATTAGTACAACTATTATTTCTTCGACATCATGCTTTTCTCAAAAAATATAACCGATATAAAGGCATTTTATGCATATTGAATATATATACATGCGATCCGTTAATCTGTGGCTTTGGTCAATGATGTATGCTATTAGCGAAAGTAACACAAAATAAACCAAACATTCAATTACGTTCGTGTATTCTAACCCCGCCTATTTAATTATGGATTTTTCTATGCGCGCAATTAGCACTTGCTCGGTGATACAGGGTAGAAACGGTCGTGTCTCAGAACCAGGTTGTTTAGGTCCATCAGTGTACACAAAAGGCACACAGTGTAGTACAAATTCACAAATCTAAGAATCATTTAGAGTCGAGTCTTTTAGAAATTATTAGGCTTGGTACGAGTTATAAGTTTTACAGTCTGTAAAGAAATATTATATGTTATTAGTTTTGGTTGAACAAGCTTATTTTAGGAACTATTTCAGATTAATTAATTATTGTTGTGCTAATAAATGGACTACCCATTTATCGAGGAAGGAATAAGGCCGAAGAACGTGTGTGCACACTGGAGCTTATAGCTTTTATGACTGTCTAATTCACAACACTCTTATTACTTCAGAAGTGGCCAGTCAGTTGTTGAAGAATTTAAATTCCTCGATATCGTTATCTATACAAATAGTATGTAGCTGTAATATTCGACAAATTATAAAGCGCTTTGGATAAATAAAAATATAGATAGCTGAATGGAATTTTTTTGTGGCTACGCAAGACTAAACATAATATACAAACATTTAACGCAGATGTTATATTGTTATCTTGGGAAACTTTGAGATTATGTTTCTCGTATTTATAAGCAGTTTGATTTTCAACAAAATAACTATAGAGTACATATAAACTCTCTTAAAGTAAATTTTGTTTAAGATATCAATTATCTATCTGTAAAATCAATTATAATAATGTTACCAATCATGATTTTAAAAATCACAGTCATTTAGTTATCTTTGTTCAATAAGTTAATTAGTTTTGATTAGATAAACCATAATTGTTCCAGTTTTTCCTTCGGAAAAAATCAACGGAAATTAGCTTAAATTTTTTTTTATAGTATAGGGGCAATAGGGCAGATGGCTCTATTGATCACTGGCAAGCCTTGTAAGAATTGGTACTCTCTTTTCTTAAGTCGTATTGGTTCGTGAATATCTCGAAGGGCACATCCACATACCGATGTTGCGGGGCGAAAAATGTATTAAAAACCGCTCAGTTGTCGAACGATGGACGTCGAGGTGATATGGATGGAATTTCATATTCTGCCTCGACATCCGATTATGATACTCAGCCGGAGGTATTAATCCGAACAACTGTGACCTGTGACCACTCTCCATGGTAAAAGTGGTAGAAGAAGCAGAGAGACCCCACATCTCTATGCAACACAAGGGATCAAGCCGCTTGGGAAATGACTGATTGTCGACGATTCAAACCGTTCTTCGTTGAATATGGTCAAGTGGAAGGAGCTGGTATTGTGCTCCCGCCTAGAGCTGAGAACAGTACTCTATGTGGGGCCGAATTTGCGCTTTATAGAGTTGCAAGCAGTGGCCTGGAGTAAAGTACAGTCTCGCCTTGCTGAGGACACCGAGCGTCTTGGAGGCTAACTTATTGTTTTCTTCCAAAATATGCCAAATGTAACACATACTACCAGAAAAGTTGTCACATTTCACAGCTGCCGCCTATTTGAGGTTGATCAAAACCAAGTTTGAGAGGATGGATAGATATTTGTCTATTGATAATTGTATGACAGGGACCTATCCCTTTTACATGGATTTTAAAACAAATCTCAGATTATAGAAACCATCAGCAGAAATTTATTAATTTTGTGAATATTTAATAAAAGTCAAGTTAGTATTCGCCAAAATTAAATTATTTCTGCCCAAACACCTAAGATAGCAATAAAATATCAGTCATCAAATAACAATGATCCATTGCTATAATCTTCAATTATTATATTAAAAATTGAATTTGTATATTCTACTACAACAAAAATAAAAACAGTACAGAGTAGCTAAGAACTTATTTTTAATGTTTACTAAAGAGATGAACATTTGATTTAACAGAAATATTGATTTCTCCTTGTCCAACTCTGATTATACTTTGTAAGATTCTGTTCTGTTAATAGTCTGTTTTTTTAATAACTTTATTATATTTTTTAAACTTACATGTGTGGGGGGCAATGATGACACTCCAGGTGCCTGATCCTCTCCAGCAGTTAACACCCATACTGTGGCAAATGCTATAGCCGCTAAACAGACACTCCTCAGTCTAAGCATGTTTAGTCCTGGAATTGAGAATAAATATGTGAAACTGGAGAAAATTAATTGAGGTATTTAAAATACAGATATAGTAATTTAATAAACTTTCATCTACACATAAGATTTCATGTACAAACCTTAGTGTTAAATAATTTTTAGACATGATAAAAATCCCACAATTTTAATTTAAAATATAGATCGTTTGATCTTAATTCAGGCATGATTTCCTCTTCCTTTCACACAGAAATATACAGCAAATGAAATGGCTAGTTTTTACTTACAAGAGTATCGTAAAGTGTAAGTGATAGGTAAACAGGGTGTATTAATCTAGACAATTAACCATATCTAATTTAATATCAAATTTATATCGCGGGGCAATCATAAGTTTCCTTGATTTTTTTTAGATATAATATTGCTATTGTCACGGTGAATGGAACTTTAATTACAACGAATACCAAGACTAACCTTGAATATATATATATTTTTTAAACCAACAATTGCTATTATCACTTTCAGTACATTTCAGACTGTTATTAGTCCGAATAAAAGATTCAAATAGCCAATTTCATATTTCAATAATAAAAATATTTCCAAAACCTATCGAGTTTCGTTTCATTTAAAAAAATTGATGGAAAATATCTAGTGGCGACAAATGACGTTGATAATAATTTTTTGACACTTCGATCTGACAGATTACCAATTAACAGATTACTGTTGGTTATTAAACCAAGGGCTTGAGACAAAATCACTTATCAAATTTGTAACTGTACATTATCTATTTTGATTTATATCGTTTTGTATATAGTACTATTACATTTTACTTTTTAACGATTTGAATATAATAAATGTTATTTACTTATGCAAGTAGTTTTCCGTACAAATATTATTGTCTATAACTACTTAATTAAGTAATCTGTGACCAAAACTTTACTTTTACGAAGTCAGAAATCACAACAAAAACTTACAAAGTCATAACCTAAAATTGATACAAAATTAAAATTCAAAACTTCCAAATGCCTTTTGATTACCGCCGATTTAATGGTCCAGAAGATAGTGTTTCATATAAACGCTTTTCTGCAAATTTTCTGCGAACCTACGATGAACTATATAAAGACTTACTAGATGAAAACGGTAAAAGGAAGGATGGGCGCGCATTGAATGAAGCACGAAGTTTGTGTACGTCTTGTACGTGTTTATCAATTAGTTTGTTTCTATAAAGTTGTATATTAAAAACTAAACATTATATTAATTTTCAGTCACTAGAACAAATATAGTATCGCAAGCTAAAGGGTCGGCATATGTAGAACTTAACAAAACAAAGGTTATTTGTTCCGTTTTTGACCCTAGAGAAATAACTGGTCATCAGAATGAATATAGGTTGGTATCGACTATTGTATAATGTAAAACACAGTGCTAAACTATTTACTTATGCTAACTTAAATAAATACCGCCTACCATAACAAAATTTTCAGTTGGTTTGGCCAAATCTATTGTGAAGTTAAATTCGCGCCATTCTGTTGCCCTCGGAAAAGAAGACAACTTGTTCCAGATTCAGATGAAAAAGCTTTATCAGCTGATCTAAAAAAAGCTCTAGAGACTGTAGTCAGGAGAGATAAATTCCCTAATTTTCAGGTAATCTATTGTACTTAAAGCCTTGGTTGTGACTTGTCCAAACTAAATATTCATATATTTTAATTCTTTCAGATGGACATATTTGTTTACATCTTAGAACATGATGGTGGTTGCTTATCTGCAGCAATAAATGCTGCAGGATTAGCATTAGCAGATGCAGTGGTGCCAATGTATGATATTGTTTCAGCCAGTTCAGTTGCTATAATCAATGATCAGATTATTGTTGACCCTACAGAAGCGGAAGAGCATTTAGCTTTAATGTACACTGATAAAGAGAAAAACCATGGCATAGTAACAATGTGTTTTATGCACCATTTAAAACAAGTTACAGACTTTCGGCAAATTGGTTCAGTAGATGCTGAATGTGTATTGAAAGTTATGGCTATACTAGAAGAAGAGTGCGATAAATTAATGTTAGTAATAAAGAAAATTATGGTGAGCAATGTTGTTAGGCAACACAATGAGCATAAAGTGTTATTAGAAGAAGCAAAGTTCAGGGAAGAAGTGCTTCAAAATAAAGTTGAGGAATGGAGAAAGTTATTAAACGCAGGATGAAATCAAAATGTTTTTTATTACTTGTTAATTTGTAAGCAACAAAGATTTTAAAGTGGAAGGTTTTAATATAGGATCATAATAGCAATGAAATTTAAACTACTTTTTGAGCATCAAGACTATGTAATTTCAACTGTAAAATTATTTATGATAATTTTCATATTGTAACTAAAATATATTTAATGAAAAAAGCAAAAATGGTACTTGGAAAAATTTAATACATAAATCCAAATTTTAATATAAAAGCCAGAAATTAAAATTCAGTAAATTACTAAAAGGAAAATTTAATCCTCTGGTTTTTCAGGTGGAGGTCCACAAGGTTGTAACATTCTCTCCATTAAATTAAACTTCACGCGTGCTTTTGATTCATTTTCAACAATAGCAAAATAGCTCAATAAATCTGGATGTCCCATGTAACTGCAGCATGAGTCGCGGTGTTGGTTTGTCAGCCATTCATACTTCGTAGTGTCCGCATGTCCTGTGCCGATATATTTGCTTTGAAGATGTTCAAGCTGGCTATGAATGTTGTACCTTTCTCCCATGTTTATTAATATTTCATACAGAATTCGATTAAAAAAAGATTCCAATTTGTATGGCGACTTACGTTTTACAAACACTTATGCGGTTGATTATTTAATATTTAGCATTACAAATATATCTAACTGGCAATCTGAGCCTTGACAGTGACAGTTGACAGTATTTATTCTCTTGATAATTGACGAGTAATATCAATGCCATTTTGAAGTAGTGAACGATGTATTTCTGTGGTTATTATAAGTCTATAGTTAATTTATCTCCATAGTAACGATAACTGTTTAATGCTGCTGTCGGTGTTTTTGAAGCCATTTTTAATTAATCGATGGACCAACAAATCGTATTTTCTTAACATCATAATTATGAATAGTAAAGACAAATATATAGATTTAAAGGAAAATAACCTTTCACTGCGGAAACAGGCAAAAAAAAATTCAAAAAAGCAACTGCATGGACAAAAAATAACTCATTTATTTTTGCACGAGAAGAATATTTCCGAAATTGTATGTTATTTTTGAATTATTTTTGTAAGATCTTTAAATATTTAATATCGTTAACAATTATTTTTTAGCCTCTTCCGAAAAATCCAACTCATATAATCTATGCCTACTATCATAACAATTATATTACACAAATAAAAAATGTTGATGTTATGTACAATTTAACACATTTGCATTTACAATGGAATAAAATAGCCAGGATTGAAGGTCTTGACAAATTAGTGAAGCTAAAAAAACTATACTTGGGAAATAATCAAATAAGTGTCGTAGAGAATTTGGAAGCTTTGAAATATTTAGAAGAACTTCATATCGAAAAACAGTGTAAAGAAAACGGTGATCCGTTATGTTTTGACCCTAGATCAATGATTTCTATTGGTGTAAGTTTTGTCACTATTTTTATAAGCTACCCAAATCATGAGTCGTTTAATGGTCCGTATAGTGTGTAAAAAACAGAAACGTTTAATGTGTGGCGGTAACATGATGTAGTAAGTACCTACGGCACATCCCTATTCTAAGTCTAACAGCGAATTTTATGAGGTCGCTGGTTGCGAACTTCCAGGCCTTCATATTTCGTCATGTTTAGTATCAATATTTTTCTAGGCATCGCTTAGAATACTCAATGTGTCGGAAAACAAAATATCTGATGTATCGTGGGCTAGACCATTACGTCGCTTAGAAGTTCTTATAGCTAAGAAAAATCTTCTTGATGATGTTCAGGTAAATAATTTATTTACCTACCATTCGTTATTTTAATGATCATTGTGGCCATAAAGATATACTAATATTATATTATATATAATATTAGTATATAATATTATATTATATACTAATATTATATATTGATAAACGTTTCTAGATGATACGTGAAACAAGATTAACTTCTATATTATTTTTTACAGTCTGTTGCAGACGACTTGTGTACCCTTGTGAGTTTGGTGGTCGTGAATTTCACTGGTAACCCAATGACTAAAAAACATAGATATAAAGAAATTATTATAGCTAGATGTGGACCATTACGTAAGTATTTTAAAGCCTTAAAACAAATATTTAATTTGTTGTATTTTAGTATTTTCACTTTACATTGCGGAGTTATAGACTCGTTATAACTGTCTATGTGTCATAGTCATTTGTTTTAAATATAAATTTCTTAATCATTTGGTTTTTACATACTATAATAGGCTGAAATTGAGTTTTATTGCGCATTAGGTATGTAATCTTTTGTTGGTTTGCTTAGTATCTTTTTTGTCTTAATATTATTTCATAATAATTAATTATTACAACTTACGATATTATGTACATATATGGAAATAATATTTAACAGGAGTATTAGATGACGTTCATATTCACAATACATCAAGAATTTTCCTGCAAAGTTTCGATAAAGTTGTTCGATTACGTCAATTGCATGAAAAAAATAAACTTAGTTTATCACGAGATGGCGCTGATGAGTTTTTGGCACTGAACATGTTACCAGGACCCAGGGCTCGCTCTGCACTCTCTATATCTGAGTTTTCTAATCAGAAACCTAAACGTACGTATATTTTTACATGTATAAATTGTATACGACAAACAGCTGACGCGTTTCTATTCTTGCTTAATTACTTTTCTGTTATATTAATAATGCCAAATGACAATATTTATTTATGTTCAAAGCTAAAACATCGACTGATACCTTAATTTTTTCAATGAAGCGATAACATTCCTAGAAATGTATGTCTATTTTTTAGTAACCGCGGTGGATGCCAGCTATACCTTCATGCCGAGGGCTTTCTGGCGTAATCGCCCTGAAGATGTTGACAAAGCTCCAATACCACCAATGGAACCAAAGGGAAATTCCTCTCAAAGCGCTCCAATAAAGGGCATACTAAAAAAACCTATGCCAATGAAATATATTTGAAGGGATGCAGATTTGTAACGTCTTTATTTGTCACAGCAAAATTTTTTACATTGTATTATCTTTATTAAAAATAAAAAAAACTGAAGCAGCTGTAGTTTCTAAAATGTATCCTTAATATTATTATCACTATCGTAGGAGACCCTACATAATATTAGGTCCTTACATATGAAATTGGCGTATTTCGTACTGGCCACTTTAATCACGATGTTCTCCTCTTTGGTAAGGAATTCCAAATTCAAATTTGTACAGCTATTTACTCATGTATGTGTGCTTCGATGACCGTCATTCATTTGTTTTTTTTCTTCTGTTTTTTTCTGTTTGCGTCACTCATTTTACAAAATGGAAAACTTAAAGTATCGCATTATTTACGAGTACGAGTTCCGCCGTGGCACTAGTGCTGCGGAAACGACTCGCAGGGTGAACAACGAATACACATCGTATGGCGGTCATGTTGCAAAAGAAAACACAGTTCGTTTTTGGTTCCAACGTTTTCGTTCTGGAAATTTCGACCTGCAGAACAAGCCCCGTGGACGGCCTGAGACCCAAATTGATAATGAAGTATTGAATGCTATTGTGGAAGCAGATCCATCGCAAACCACGTCCGAGTTAGCTGCAGGCTGCGGTGTTAGTGATAAAACTGTTTTAATTCACTTGAAGCAAATTGGGAAGATTAAAAAGTTTGAAAGATGGGTACCTCACGAATTGACTGAAGCAAACCGGCAAACGCGCGTCGACTGCTGCGTTACATTACTGAACCGGCACAATAATGAAGGTATTTTAAACCGAATCATTACCTGTGATGAAAAATGGATTCTTTACGATAATCGAAAGCGCTCAGCGCAATGGTTGGATCCTGGCCAGCCAGCCAAATCCTGCCCCAAGCGAAAATTAACCCCAAAAAAGTTACTTGTAAGCGTTTGGTGGACTAGTGCCGGTATTGTTCATTGCAGTTTTCTCAAATCTGGCCAGACTATTACGGCTGATGTCTATTGTCAGCAATTGCAAACCATGATGGAAAAGCTAGCGGCTAAACAACCTAGGCTGGTCAATCGCTCCACGCCACTGCTACTTCACGACAACGCTAGACCACACACTGCACAATAGACGGCTACCAAATTAGAAGAGCTTCAATTGGAATGTCTGAGACATCCTCCGTACTCCCCGGACCTTGCTCCAACAGATTACCATTTTTTTCTAAATTTGGACAACTTCTTGCAAGGGAAAAAATTTAACTCTGATGGGGCAGTCCAAATCGCCTTCACAGATTTTATTGATTCCCGTACGACTGGTTTTTTTAGTAAAGGGATCAATGAACTACCTATGAGATGGCAAAAGTGCATAGAAAACAATGGTTCATACTTTGATTAATTAAATATATTATATTTAAAAATATTCGACTTTTTTGTTCCTCCCATACAAAACGCCAATTTCATATGTAAGGACCTAATATTTATGTTTTAATCATATCGAGATATTATTTGTAATTATAAGGCTAGGGCTACATCATGCCGTGAATAAATTCACTAGCTTTTCGTGCTACAGTATGTCATAAAAGTTACCACCTGTTGTCAGTTGTCACCGATTGTCCATAGTCACTATATAGTCGGATGTGAGCTGACTCTCTGACAGATTTGTTTTTTAAAGCTAATTCATCTGTGTTTACATATTTTACACTTTACTAGTTCTAATTCTAAGTTCTAACCTTAAATAATGTAAAGGCGAGATATAGATAAGCACCGGTGTCCACAAATTAAAATTTTAGTGTAAAGAATGTCTTATATTCTTGAAGAAGCATTAAAAGTTTTTCACGAAGAAACATCAGGTAGGGTAACTTAGAACTCATTATATGATTTTGTATAAGTAATGATTTTTATTCAAGTGTTTACAAAAGCGACTAACCTATAACCACTTAAAGCAGGGCGTTTTAGTGTGTAATGTGTATTAGAGGAGTAGTTGATTAGTTTTCAGAACAAAAAAAATGATCATAAGCTACAAAAAAAAAGGGTCCGTGTACTTATGTACGCGCGTAAGAAGTTATACTTCTTTGGCAATATTAAAAATAGTTTGGCTTTGTTCCACCTCCAGTTTTTGATGTTTCACAGCGATAAGATGAAAACTCTTTTTTTGTATTCAATTTAGTGCAGTTACATTGATTCATCAATTGTTTTTTGTCTCTTTTCCTTATATTTGCTAGATAAAATCAGAAAAATTACATGTTTTGATTAAACAATGTGGTTAATTTTTTAATCAAAACATTACTCGATAATAATAATAATACATACGGATAGTTAACCTCAATTGTATTGAAGCACTTAGGAAGGTTGATGAGCACAGTTTTTTCACAAATATTAATTAGTATTGGTTTAAATATTCAATTTAAATCACTTCTGATTATAATTCAAAAAGCATCGCTAAATTTCTTTGAAAAAATAATTAAAACTCCTTTATTTGTTTAAAAGGTAAATGACAAATGTCATTATGGTCATTCAAAATTGTTGGCATACGAACTTCACGCATATTCTATTTCTTTTTACTTGTAGATTGTCTTATTCCTATCTCGCTCGCGCACGCTATAATCACACTCCTAATTTTGTGTCACGGGTGCGCGCGCATTGTAAAATTTCACTCTCATAAATTATTCATAACGCACCTAAAGAAGTATAACTTCAAAAAATCCATAACAAATCTTACATTATATGACAGTACTAAGAGACAAAATATAAGTAATTTAGTTGCGATTCAAAGTAAATCTGTTATTATAATATGGTTAATTTAAAATTCCAGAATTATATTTGCATGGTCACATCGATGAAGTGTACTCTTTAGATGCATTACAATTTCACAGAGACTATGTGTCAAAAAATATACCAGTAATTATTAGAGGTGGATGTTCAAAATGGTCTGCTACACAGAAGTGGAACTCTCAGTATTTTAGGTATGTTATCAAATGCAAATGTTACAAAATGTATTGCTTATTATATAAGGAATGTCTTAAACTATTCAATGCAATTATAATATCGTCACCTCAATGGTAAACTTACGAATCTGGCATTTTGGCAAAATTGAGTTTTTTTATGCAAAACTATGTCTAAAGTGGTACTACACAACCTGGCAATTTTTGGTATTTCTATCTCTAACGGTTACTGATTTAGAGTTGCCCGAATCTGTACTTTATGGTAATATCACCCATAGTAAACTTACTAAAGTAACATTGGAAATTTTACCATAGAATAAGATGTATGCACATGGGATAAAATTGGCCATTGTAAATTGACGAATGTGGTATAATCGTGAATTTACATCCGTGACTAACATTATTCAGCTTGTTAGGATACCTACAGCAAACTAACGAATTTACCACATTCGTAAGTTTACACTGGTGATAGATGCTATCTAAGTGGGCTTAGCTACCCACAGTAAAGTAACGAATCTACTAAATTCGTAAGTTTGCTTTGGTGATAAAGTTTATCTAAGTTAGCTTAGCTACCTACAGTAAAGAAACGAATCTACCATATTCGTTAGTATACATTGGCCGCAAATACCCATAGATTTAGAATTATTGATAGCAAAAATAAGAACTTGCCATATTCGTAAGTTTGGTTTGGTGTTTAAGAGAAATATTTTATATTGAATTATAGATCCCTTGAAGGTTGCAAACATACGAATAATGTAAAGTGATCGCATATTGTTTTATGTAATTATTATTTAAATTAAGTTTCAAGTTAATTATTTGAATATTAACGGTCAAACTCAACTCTATTGAAAGAAATTCTAATATTTTTACGACAACAGTGAATCTCAATTATCTCAGTGGACACAAACAATCAATGATTTCGATTGATGCTCTTCTTGTGATTTAATTTATTTGAACTATAAAAAAATTGGTGAAGCATGAAGAGAAATGAGAAGGTGTTACAAAAAGTTTTTGAAGCTGAAAGAAGTAAAAGTCTCAAAAATAAGTTAGGTATTTGTTTTTTTAACCTCTAGAATCTGAAACTCAAATAATCTAACTGATGATAGTGATGATGATCCAACCGATATAGGTCACGGCGGCTTGGGAGGACGTCGGCCGTGTGCTTTTTATGTAGCCTACTAAGTTATGTAGGTACAAACCTAATAGATTAATGATTGTGATTTTATAGGTTATTAATTTTATGTTAATATAAAATTGATAACCTATAAAATCCGTTCTAATTACAAGGGATTCATGAAAATGTTTGACCAGGTTTTGCTCTGGTCCGCAGAGCGATCGCCGCCGCAAGCTCCGCCACGAGTCGTCGTGATTAAGCTCTGCGGATCAAAGTGAAACCTGGTCGGACTTTTTGACAAAATTTAAATACTTGAGTACCTACATGGGTTTTAAATCTGATAAAAACTTCCTAGGTGTTTCGACTCATTTATACTGGAAGTTTCAAAAACTTCCTGTGAAACTGAAAGTGGTTCATTCACACATCAATACAAACCACTGGGCCCCAAAATATATTCTTATTGATCTGTGGATGAACCCCTTTCAGTTTTACAGGATATTTCTGAAACTTCCAGTATAAATGTGAACTAACGAAAGTCCTACTTAGTATAACAATTTTTCTGCGTTTGCATTAGCTTATCTCTAAGGTTTAAATTGACCACCAAATGACTTGGCCTTAAGATATTTCTGCGATTTTCAGGAGCAACTGAACGGAGACAAGCAATAAAAAAGTTTGCTTAGTGCAAATTAAAGCTGAAGTATTAGGAGACAACATTTTGGCTCGCGAAATATTGATAGATGAAGAAGTACAGGTTACTGTTGAAGAATGCGCTGAATTAAGAGATAGTAATTCTACACCTACCTTCAATATAATAAACAACTCCGAAGAAACTACTGTGTGCTGAGTCTACGCACCACTATCGTTTTACAATGAAGAATGAAAAGGTCACAGTTAACACCTTGAATATAAAAGAAGGCATTGTGAGAGCTTTGAAAAAGGTTTCCCCAGAAGGTGTGGTTATGCCTGAAAATAGAGGAAAAAAATGCCCACCTAACAAACTTGCCCCTGAACAATTGGATATGCTGAAAACACACATACTTTCATTTCAGGCCATGGAATCACATTACTGCAGAAAGAACTCGGAATACAAATACCTCGATGCTGGACTGAATGTACAAATAGGTAATGTACTCGCTGTATAAAAAAAAGAAGTGTGAAGAAGAAGGTACTATTCCAGCTGGTATGGAAACATATCGAAAAGTTTTCAGATCATACAAACTGAGGTTTCATGTGCCTAAAAAAGATCTGTGCAAAAAATGTGTAGCCTTCAAAGATATAAAAAGTAATGTAACAATCTCAGAAGATGCCAATAATTCCAAACATCTCAAGAGACGTGATGATGCCTTTCTGCGTAGAGACGCTGACAAAGCAGCGGCAAATAATTATAAAAATGTTTTGGCCTTCAACTTCGACCTTCAAGCTGTTCTCCACACACCTAAAGGTGCTGCTGTACCATTCTTTTATGTCCGTAAACTGCCAGTTTACAATTTGACGTGCTACAGATTTGGCGATAAAGATGTCGATTGTTTTACTTGGGATGAGACTGAAGGAAAACGTGGAAGTGTTGAAATAGCGACATGCATATACAAATATATTTCAGACAAGCAAGTAAGAATGATGTCAGATAATTGTGGAGGACAACAATTTTTTTTTCACTTTTCTTGTATGTTGCTACACTTAGTAACAACCCATCCGACAATACACACAATTGACCACATGTTCTATGAGCCAGGTCACAGCCACATGGAATGTGACTCTGTTCACTCAAAGATTGAGCAAAAGTGTAAAAACACTGAAGTTTACACTCCGGATGGATGGCTTTAGGTAATGACGTTAGCTAGAAGGAATCCCCGTCCATTTAATGTAACAGTTTTAAGTCATGGGGAGTTTTTGGACTTCAATCCAAATAATTATCATTTTGCTGCAGAAACAACGAAGAAGACACAATCAAAGAAATGAAAAGAAAAAGACAAAGAAAAAGAAACATGCAATACTACTAATAAGAAAAAAATAAACTTCCAAGATGCTGTGTGGATTCAATACCTTAAAAACAATTTAAAGTCGATTTGCATTAAAACTGATTATAATGAAGAAAGTTTCAAAGAAATGAAGATAAAGGCAAAAAAAGGAAAAATACGTCGTTAATGCGTGTTTACAGCAGAAGACTGCCTATTTCGACAGCCAAAAAAAGAGACTTGATGAAGTTCTGTGCAGAGAACTAGATACCAAAATACTATCACTCATTTTATGAAAATTTGCCTGTTTCGTCAACAGTCCAAGACCGCTTACCAGAGCCTGATGCTGAAGAGGTAGATTATGATCCGTTGTTTTAAAATTAAGATTTATTTTAATATAATTGTTTCTTGCTGTATGAATGAATAAATAAAGGTATTTTTCGTACACCATTGTATTTAATTCTGTAGAATCTATAGTAGTGTAGAATAAATTGGTATAAATTACGTGTCTACAGTGTATGTACGTAATTTATACCTAATTATTGAGGGTAATAACAAATTTCATGTTTCGGTAAATTTACGAGTGGTATTTCCGTAGGTTTACTTGGGTCAATTTTAACATTTGTCTCACAATATTTACGAATGTACCACATTCGTCAGTTTGCTTTGTAAATGAGTACCTATGGAATCGTTAATATGGTGATCCAAAGTTACGAATGTGCATTTATTTGTAAACCATAAAGATTATTGATCAAATGTCATTTTTAATTGAGAAAGGCGCCATTTTTATTTAAAAAAATTGCTTTATTGTCAATATGCGCCCTATGAAAAAAAAGGTTTTAGATGTTTTTAACTATCAAAACGCTCTCCTGTAAAGTTCGGATTTTGCAGTTTCGCAAGTTTACCATTGGATGTGACGATATAATAAAACAACATTGTTTAGTTTGGAAGAATAAAAAACTGAAAAAACTCCATTCTGCAAAAATATTTATTTTAATTTTCATTAAATATTGTTAGGATGTGTTTTTAAAATAAACATTGTAAATTTAAAAATATATTGAATATTCTTAAAATGAATATAATATCTGTCTACTTCTCTTTACAAAGCAGTTACAGATATACATCTGAAATGTCAAAAAAATACTAAATTTAATGAAATACAAATAAGTCTATAGATTACAATTATATTTTTAGGCAAGTTATACCAAACAAAGAAATAACTCTAGCTATCACACCAAATGGATATGCAGATGGGATAACAAAAGATAAAACTGGTATTGAATGCTTTGTGATGCCGTGGGAAGTACAAACTACTATGTCACACTTCTTAGATATGCTTGAAAATAAAAGGTATACATTAAAAGGTAATAATTTGAATAAGGGATTCGTTTTTAAGTCAGTTAAGAATATAGGTTAATGACTTGTCAATACAAATGATATGCCATTAGAGAAAGAAAAATGTTAATGTACAAGACGAGCACATAGTGCCTTTATTACTGCCTCCACTGTATTAGAATAAATTAATTTGTAAAAACACTCTCACAATTTATATTAATATGTTGTATGTGGTCAGAGATTCACCATAATAATGTTGCGGTAAAGATTGACTTTAATACTGACTGAATTCATATGAGTGGCATTGACCATTATTTGTAATGGGAAGGTTTAGGCAATTGTTTTATTTTCTATCAAGTTCTATATTAGTGTTAGGGAGCGTTCAAGTATTACGTAACGCGTTTTGGGAGGGGGGGAGGGGTCTCCTTTTGTAAAACGTTACGATGCGGGGCGGGGATTGTATTACGCGTTTTTGTTAATATTATTTTCGACTTACACCACATAATAGTAACTAAAGAGACACAAGGTTGTCACGAAACGTTTTACTATACTTGAGGACAGTACTGTACTAGGGTACTGGAAAACGTTACGGCGAGATACAGGGGGGGGTCAATAATCTCCAAAAATTGCGTTACGTAATACTTGAACGCTCCCTTATAATCAATACACAATAGACGGACTAAATTGTTCTGTACTCCAAAAGTATTGTCTCATTGTGATATAAATTGTTTCTTAAATGATAGATTATTATTATATGAGAGATTTAAAATCTCCATGGCCTGTTATGAATAGTTACATTACTGACGTATAAAAAAAAACAAAAATTTCGTCTCTAAAATAAAAATACTACAACAAAATTTCCATTAATATTTCAGAGAAAATTATATACCCTACATTCAGAGACAGAATTCTAACTTAACTGAAGACTTCAAAGAATTATTGTCAGATGTAGAACATGAAATAGATTTTGCAAGTAAAGCATTTAATAAGAAGCCTGATGCTGTCAATTTTTGGATGGGTGACTCAAGGGCTATAACCTCAAGTAAGAAGTGAAAAATAATGAGTAATTGATACATTTCTATGATTATCTCAATTTTTTACTAAAATTCCTTAACATTGACATTCCCTTCTCAACCTTACTAGGTTCTTAGAGTCAAGAAGTTGATGAAGGAGTCTTTGATTAATCATAATAGAAATTATTCCAGTGCACAAAGACCCATATGAAAACATATACTGTGTTATTGATGGGTACAAAGACTTCATATTAATTCCGCCCACTGACTTGTCTTACGTCCCTTATAAGAAGTATAAACAGGCGATGTTCAAATATAATGAAGGATGGGATATCGAAATGATAGATAGTGTTGAACTACCTTGGATTTGTATAGGTATGTTATTCATTAGATTAATTTTAACTTTTTGTTATGGTTATTATTGTAAATAAAAGTCCATTTCGTAATTATCTACAGACTACCAATCACCTAAATAATGTGGAGTGGTTTCTACCTACATAATCTATAACTAAATCACAGATACATATAACAGTTATATTTTGTTTGACGTTTTTTTTTTATAAAAGGTATGAAATCTAAAGCCTACAATTGTGCTGTTTTGTTATTGAATATTTCCTATTAGCCAGGGTTTGAAATGTTCCATAGGAGTACAATGTTTAACAAGCCAAACCGATGTTTTGACAGATTAAAATGAACTTCAAAGATGACCTAATTTGTTATTTTTTATTACTATTATTATTTAGTGGTTATATCGTCATACAAAAATTTGACCTCAATTGATGCTTTATTGCGTTGTGTGAGAGAGCTTTTTCACAGCAATATTTACAAGTATTGTTGGAGCAGCCTTGCTTAACAGTTATTAATTCTTAGGTATTTTTAAAATTGTTGGCATTGTACATATATATACTATAATAGTATAGAAAATATAACAAAAAACTATCACAAATTTGTAATGTTTCAGATCCTCTAAAGCCGGACTTCCTGAACTACCCTCAATTTTCAAAAGCGCATAGATACACAATTCGCGTAAATAAAGGGGATTGTCTGTATCTGCCTAGTCTATGGTTCCACCATGTTTCGCAGAGTCACGGATGCGTCGCTGTCAATTATTGGTATGACATGGAGTTTGACATTAAATATTGTTATTTCAAAATGCTTGAGAAATTGTGCGAGAGTCAAACTTAAATTTATGAAAATGTCTCTACCCACTGATACATTTGTGTATAAAAAAATTATTGTTCCATTCAAAATCAAACCTCGAACCGTTAAAAATTACAAATTTTATTCAAAAACCTATTTGTCAAATGTTTTTTTGAAAATTAAATTTTTAATCTACAAGCTTGAATAAATCAACAAAATAGAATATAAAATAAGGCAATTTAAGACTGGATATTTGAAAAAAAATTCTATTTTAACCGACTTTAAGAAAAATAGGTTATCCGTTTTAGTTTTCGAGAAATATGTGGGCAACAAAATTTAGCAATTATATTTATATATGTATGTGATATAGTTGGAGTTGGATAATATTTATGACTAGTAGAGTCGGCCAAGCGTTGCTGTGGCTAAGATTTTTGTTATATTACATAGTAGTAAACTATTCAAAAGAAAAGGCAGGAGAACACCAATCCACCATGCTTTTTTGGTGGTTATGCCATTAAATTGTAGCTTATGTGAAACGTTGGTTATTATAACAAATATTAAACTTACGACACTAAAAGTGGGTAAATATTGTTTCGTTTGTATGCATATTTTTTGGAAACTAAAAGCCATGGCGAAATGGAGTAATTCAGCACTGGGACAAAACATTGATTTAAAATTGCATACTTTTATGAATTAAATTGAATTAAAGAAGGAGATAATTAAAAATTGTTATTTTTTCGATAAATTAACATATTCTCGTTAATTCAAATATTTTTGAGATATCGCGGAACGTGTCAATAAATCATGTTACGCTCGGCTCAGGCAGAACGTGAGTGCATGCAGCCGGCGTTCATCGATTTATAAGACGTTATTACAAAAATATCATTTGCATAGTGTCACATCTTCAAATCTATTGACTATTTTGTCATTTTTGTCTCATTAACAAATAAATGAGACGAAATTAAAAAAGTACATTTTCTTTTGAATATTGCGCTTTCATGTATAAAATAAAAAGCTCAATATTTGTAATTAAATATATTTAAACTGATAAATAAAGTTGTTAATGTTGCTCTTGGTTTTAATTTGATCCCTTGACTTGAAGATTGTCGGAGTATTTTTACGGTCTGAAAACAAATGTCTATTGAAAAATTTGTGATTCTCTACTGCAAAGCTTAGCCCCGGCTGTGGACATAATGTTACAGAATATCGTATTTATCTAATAACATTAATAAAAAGGTTCTATGTATTACCAAAATATCGGGATAAATATTGGAAGATGGCAACATTTTAACACTCTTGCACACGCCACGAGGCGAACACATGCCCACAGTGTTCTTTATCACGCACACATCGCCAGGTGGCCAAGCGCGTATCGTCGCATACGTCCATAGAGTTGTGTTGCCAAGTTTTACCGTGACATTTGCTGAAAATTTACAAATGTAAATCTAGAAATATTATCGACGGTTGAGTATAATAAATAAATTACATATTAATAATAATAATAATAATTGGACAATTATAAAAATTATTATGAAACCCATACATTAATATATATACATCTTTGGATTACAGTAAAAAATAAATAATTTCCACAAATTATAACTCACGTCCTATATATTCAGGATCCGGCCAATTATCAGGTAATAAATTTAGTTCAAACGCATATTTAGCCGCAGTTTCTGCGCCGACGCACCACAGAGCCGAGCCATACGCTATCCGACAACAGACTCCACACATTTTCATTTTACCTAAAGTACCACCCTGGAAATAAAGCTTACGCATTATAATAATCTAAACTAGGTATAGTGTATTGACTAAATAAAGTGTTGCTTGGTTGTCTCATGCGCCTACGTCACGTCTTGTCAGACCTTCAGTCGCAGGGATGTGACATTCTGCATAAAAAAATCGATTTTTTTATTAATCGATTATTTTTTTAGCATGAAAAATCGATGAACAAATAACCGATTTTTTTATTAATCGATTTTTTCCTAATTTTTGAATTAATTTCAAAATAAACACCCTAAATATTTTATTTTTCATGGTTTTTTTAAATTAAAAATAAACAATATAAATTATAAACACAAATAAACGTTTAAGAATAATCAAAATCGAAATTAACTTAATCTCGTTTTCATAGAATTTAGGTGAAATTTGATAAATGCTGAGTGTATGCCTTTTCAGTAGCACATTGCAGTATTTTTGTTGTCTTTTTAATTGTATGTAATCTTGTGTTGCTGAGTAAATTTATTTTACTTTTAAATTATAGTGTTCCATTCAAACTTGAGTTTTTGTAAAATTAACTGGTTTTATCATCCTTTCGATGTTTTACAAAAAAACATCAACGCATCGAGTATATCAATACATCTTCAAAGAATCGGATTCAATGTATCGCATTGTAAACATCGATGTATATGGAATATCCCTAATAGTTCGAGGTCCGGGTTATAAAAGACCAGACATAATGTCGGGAGGTGACAGATGAAAAATCGACTATGATTGATTTTCAATTATTAAAATAATCTATTATTTTAAATATAAAAATCGCGTAAAAAAATCGATTTTTACTTTACAAGAAATCGATTTTTTTAATAATCGATTATTTTTCACATCCCTAGTCAGTCGCAAACCGACACCCGTACGGAGCGGTTGTGTGTAGGACGTTTTTAAAAGTGTTGTGGTGTTGGTGAGCCGTAAAACACTCCAAGAAGCAGGACATTACACTAGGATTATTACTGAAAACGATTTTTATACTAATCTTCTAATAATACGAAAACAACAATGAAATAATTAGGTTATGAAGGACCACTCTGGTCCCTCCAACCTAAAGGCCCAAATACATATCTTGATATATATATGCCCAACGGGAAATACTTCGATAGAGCATTTCAAGGTATGACGCCATCATACTGATTGTAGCGAGATGTGGAAGAAAGATGGTTAACAGTAACAGTTCCTAAAACCTAAAGGTAGGATCCTGGGCAAGACTAACCACTGACTGGCCCAAATATCTTGATGTACAAGTAGCGGCACGAAACTCTAGCGCTGACCGTTATTGCGCAGAAGTAAAAAATAAGGTACCTGAGGGGGGCTAGCGGAATGAAGAGTTTCGATTGGCTCTCCAGTCGCATTCCGTCCCCCGCGCGACAGTACACATGCGCAGCAATCCCCTCCACGTATCGGCCAGCGCTAGCCTTACGTGCCGCTGCCTATATATGTACACATCGGGAAATATATCGTTAGAGGATTTGAAGGTATGACGCCATCGTACTGGTTGTAGCGAAAATTGGTAGTTGGGAAATACTACGTCATCGCGGTTATTGTGGCCGTCCGCCATAGAACACAGGTCCCGACTAATCAGACAGTATAGTAGTAGTGACTAACAGTTCGTTCTTTACCTAGGTTTAATAGAAGTAATTCTAGTTTATGCGTTAGTCTTAAGTAAATTAAACGCCATCATTTCATTTGTTTCGTGTTATTATTGGTCAAACGGAAAGGCGAAATGTGTCGCGTCAATTGATTAGAGATGCTTGACATTGACAGATGAAAAGCGCTATCAGTTGTTATAGTCTGCGCGGAAACAGACCGGCGCGGCGTGGCGGTTTTGTCAAGAAATATATTTTTTACGATATTAGCTATTAATTCGTTATTTCATTTATTCATAGATAAACTTTTATTTTTTCATATAAATATAAGGAAAATATTTTGATTTTTTTATTTGAGTTGACAGTTTTGAGTTGCTACTAAAAAAGTTCACCGATAAACGGACAAATTTGACTTATTTGTGAGCAATAAAAAAATGCTACGTATTTTTTATGTTTTACCTACAAAAAGGTAAATCTAAATATTTACTTAATCAAGTGACCTAATACAAAAATAAACAAATATTTCAATATCACCAACAATATATCGAATTAACTTTAATAACTTTACTTTTTATTATATAGCTGGCATCACTGCCTGCTAATTCCAGGTTTAGTAAACCTTTAAAAAAATAAAATGTTATCTTTACAGACAGACTAGATTAATCTAAAAAAAAAACTTACGGGTGTGCCCTTACATGTACACTCCCTTAGTCCAAGAACAGCGCATTCTGCAGCTTGACAAGTTCCGTCTGGCAAACAGCGTCCACCAAGACCACATCTACAATTCTTAAGGTCTGGGCATGTACAGGTTTCCGTTTGACGCGTACAGTCCTACAAAAAACCCTTTATAAAATTATAATTAATTATTAAAAACTAAATCAGTGTTATTGCCACTCTTTCATCTCTTTCTGTTTAATTGTGTTTACGCTGTGTTGAAAAGAGAGATAATGACGAGACTGTTCTTTTATAAAAAGGGATTGGCTCTAAGTGAGCGTGTGATTCTCAACACGATACCAACTAAAACATCGCGAGGAAACCAGCAATCATTTAACTTCCGAAGTAATCTTAAACTTCTTTATGTCAAACAACACAATTGACTTACGGGAGTCAGACTTAGCGTTAAGTTTAGTAAGTCATGACCTTCAAGAAGTTACCTTATGCCTGAAAGGATTACCAATGAATAATCCATTTTTTTTGTTATAGAACAGGAGGCAAACGGGCAGGTCGCCCACTTAATGTTAATAATAATAATTTATTTAGATATTGCAAGAATATGGTACAAAAATGTGTAAGGTGGTACAATCGTAAGTTCGCATATTCTACCACACGCAATGGCGCGCAAATTTGTCTTTAATGGAATTTTACATTATTAGTCAAATGAATTGGTCAATTCTTGTATTATTTGTATCGTACAAATCATATGATAGTTTATTAAATTTATATCAACTTTAATAAACTATCATATGAATAATTTATTGAATAGTAAATTTTTTCCAAAAACAACGTAACCGTTTAAGTGATACCACCGCCCATAGACACACTCAATGCCAGAGGGCTCGCGAGTGGGTTGCCTTTTAAGAATTGGTACGCATCTTGAAAGACCCTAAGTCGAATTATGTACCTATACAAAATATTAAAACGATCATATAAATATGTTACCCCTATTACTCACGGTAGTGAGAA